ATAATAAAGTCCCAACGTCCTCAAATAAGAAGATGATAATTCTTCCTTATAAACAGCGTCTCAGCTTGTTGTTTGTCTCTGTGTGTCTCTGTGTGTCTCTGTGTCTGTCCCAGATGTGATGTCCAGCCTGTCTTCCTGTTACTCGTCCCTGTTTGACGGACTGAACGCGGAGGTTCAGGTGCGCTGGCTGCAGATGGTCGTGAGGAACTCGTTTTACCCAGAGCTGCCTCGAGTCCGAGCCTTCCTCCACAAACATGTGAGTCAAGGTAGCCTTTTAGTCCTTTACTGCTCTCCTGCAGTCTTGTAACTCACCAGCAGTCTGTGTCCTCCCTGCAGACATCCAGGATGTACACGGTGCCACTATACGATGACCTGGTTGCTGGGGTGATGAAGTGTGTTGCCGTGGAGATTTTTAACCAGACCCAGCGCCGCCTTCATCCCAACCTCAGACGGACGTTACAGCAGATCCTGTTCCAGAGCAGCGCTGCCCCGATCAACCAGAACGGCCCCTCTCTGTCCATCGTACCCGCCTCCCCCACCGCCACGGCAAACGCCTCCTCCTCTGCTGCTACTGCTGCTGCTGCCGGGACAACCGCCACCATCGCTCTGCGGGACGTCAACGTCTCCGCGTGAAGTTCACCTGTCCTGTGATTGGTTGGTCGCTACAGGCTTATGATGTCAGCTGTTGTTAAGGGCGACTGCTTCGGCTGAATTTAAACTACAGACGCTGAAAGTTTGAACACTGTGATGAAGTCCAAATGACAGGAAGTTCACTCCACAGAGCATATAGGTCAAAGGTCATGACTTCCTGATGATCATGTGACTGTGTTTTTAAAAAAAATACGGAGGAGGCTCAGATTAGACTTAAAAGTTCATCATCAAACTTAGACCACCAGTCCTTAGATGAGTCCTCCGATCGGACGTCTGCCCGGAGACGGGTCGTCTGTGTCATGGTTTTGTGTGTTTTCCTGTCGTCTCACAGTCTGACAGAAACGAGGCCCCAGAACACCTTCATCATCATCATCATCATTGTTGTGAGAAACTGTCTGTGTCCACCTGTGTCTCAGGTAGAGGGACGATGCGTTCACTGTCGTTGTGTAGAACCAGCAGAACCAGGTGTAGCTGCTCCGTCTAACCCTTTAGTAACTCTACCTCCTGACCCTGACTGACACCTGCAGACCAGCACTCGGGGCTCGACGCTGACGCATCACGTCACATGACTCAGCAGTAAATCTAAAACCAGCAGACTTCACCTGAGTGGCCTTAATGCTGCGTTCACTGCCGCTGGAAACGTTCAGCTCCGGTTCATCTTTGTCCCTTTAAAATGGTTTTTACCTTCAGGAGCAATAAAAAGACTTTTATTGTGAAAACATCGAGGAGTAGCAGGAAGTGATCACTGGATTGACCCTGATCAATATTTAATAAATACCAATATTTTATTTATAGATTTGAAACATGTTGACTCCCAGCTGTCAGTGAACGCCTCTTTGTAATGTGTGTTTGACTACAAATTAAAAAACACTTGAAACAGATTGTTCTTTTGTTTATTTAAGATTTTTATTTTGAAAGATCAGTTTTTGTATTTCACAGTAAAAAACCAAATTATTTTAAATTTAAGTTTTAAAACTTTCTCTGATTTTATTTGATGAAGACGTCAAGAAATAAACATAATTGATATTTTTATGATAAGTCATCAGCAGGTTCTGGAATGTCCTGGAGGAAGTGTGACGCTTTCAAAATAAAAGCAGTTGCTGCTAATAGAAAACTGTGAACACATGTAAAACATGACTCTGGCTTTTATTACTCTTCATTTACTCTCTAATAATAATTATTGTTGTTATTAGAATAATAACTTTATTGATCACACAGGAAATGGTCCATAACTTCCAAAAAAAAAACAGAACCATGCTCTACAACTTTAAATAAAGAGACAGGAAGCACTGACAAAACTAAAACTCAACGTCCGTCTGTAAAATATGAAGAATGCTGTTAAGAGGTTCTGTAAAAAAAAGTATTTTTTTAATTAAATTTTTTGAAAGCATGTTCTAAACAAACAGATGAAATTTTATTAAAAAACAAAACAACAAAACAATTACATTTCAAAGTTTGACAAAAACTGTAAAAAAAAAATTGTAAAGGAAAAAAGTTTAACAAAATTGATGAAAATGTTTAAAGAAAACATGTTTGGAAGACATTTCCTTTAAAAAAATAAAATAAAATGTGTTTTTTTTTTGTTTTGTTTTTGTTTTTCCCCTGAAAATTTTTAAGGAAAAAGTTTTTCAGAAAATGTGCAGCCAGGTTTGAATGGCACGGTTTTTTTTAAGATTTTAAATTAAAAAAAAGTCACTTTTTGAAAAAGAATTTTAAAAAAATTTGTTGCTGTAATGTGTAAAAAATTTAGAAAATGTTTATTTTAAATGGTAAAGAAAACATAACCTTCCAAAGCATGTGGTTGGGTTCTGTCGCTCTGAACTAAAGCAAAGAGAATTCGAGAAGTAGAAATTAAAAATATAAATTATGAAGATTGTGAAAATATAAATTAAATGTGCATCACGCTGCAGTGTAACGCTGGTTTGTAAAATATGTATGATGAGCTGAGTGTTTATAAATATATAAATATACACATCAAAACGTGTATGTAGGTGCTATATGCTGAGATATTGGTGTTTGTGTTTGTGTTGACATCAGCTTCCAGCTTGACACCTTTCACGCATGTGACGTGGGTGTGGTCAGGGAGCAGTGATTGAGTGAATGGCTTATATTCACCTGTTCATGGAGAGAGGGTGAGCAGGGAGAGTGTCAGTTTTGTTGACTGAACAAAGTAAAAACTGGATATTTGACCATGTTAGCTTGTCTGTTTGTTCGCTGTTGGAAATTAATCTGGATACAGTTGGAAAACTTGGAAATGGCTTTGTCATTTGTGGCGAGTCAGCAGTGCGATGCTCGCTCACTCAGACTCTCAGTGACTTCGTCTTTGTGTAGAGTCACTGTAGTGTGTAATGCTCAGAGGTGGGTAGAGTAGCCAAATATTGTACTCAAGAGTATTGTTGCTTTAAAACAAAATAACACAAGTAAAAGTAAAAAGTATTTTGCATTAAAACTACTCTGAAAAGTACAATTTATCCAAAAAGTTACTCAAGTAAATGTAACTGAGTAAATGTAACTAGTTACTACCCACCTCTGGTAATGCTGCAGTGTAAAACACAATATAAACAACTCAACCTTATTTATATGCCACCTTTCATACAAACAAACAAATAAACAAACACACACAATCCACTGTGTGAAAACAAAGACAAATGATCATTAAAGTTCAAACAAACAAAATAAAATAAATAAATAATATGGAGTAAAAATAAACAGCAACATGAGGTAAAAACTCTATATTACTGTTTTATTTTTATATTTAAATACGATATTTTATACAATAAATACAACATGTGAAATCTTAAATTATTTATTATAAATATTATTTTTATTATTATTATTATTATTGTTGTTGTTGTTGTTGTTGTTACAGGCGTGGCGGCGGAGGAGCACGCGCCCTGTGGACTTCTTCATGCCCTCTGCAGGAACCTGGCGGCTTTTATTGTGAAGGACTCGACCGGAAGCGGACAATTTTACTGTGTGTTTCTTCTCGTGGCTTCCGGAGGAGACTGAGCATCAGAGAGCTGCAGCAGCTGGACCGACAGACACATCTGGACCGGGACAGACCTGCGGGGACAGACAGGAGGACAGGGGGACAGACACAGAGACAGACAGGTGGACACAGAGACAGACAGGTGGACACAGAGACGGGGACAGACGGTCAGGTGTGTCTCTCAGCATCCGCCCCCCCCCGTGTCTTCTCTCCTCCCTGTCTCCGGGCCGTGCCGGGCTCCATGGGGGACAGCATGGCGGAGGAGACCCGGGTCATCTACCACCTGGAGGACCAGGAGACCCCCTACCTGATCCGGATCAGCGTGCCCGCGCAGCGCGTCACCCTGGCCGACTTCAAACACGTCCTCAACAAACCCAACGTCAAATTCTTCTTCAAGTCCGTGGACGACGACTTCGGGTGAGTCACGTGCCCCAAGTATCGATCAGGAGGATGATGATGATGGTGATGATGATGAATCGTGACGTCAGTGTGTTGTTTTTATTAATGATGTCAGTGATTCAAAACACTAACGTCACACAGCTCATTAAATATGCAGACAAAAACAATGCAGACAGATTTATTTATCTTTAAACTAAAACAAAACAAACACTGAAGAAACAAAAACAAACGGTGACGTTAAGGGACTGTTCATTACTTGTGAGAGGAGGGGCGGTGCAAAAGGGGGTGGGGCATGTCAGATATTTATAAGCACTGGATATATCATGGTTTAGGGGAGGAGCTTATGTTTTATTATGGTTTAGGGGAGGAGCTTATGTTTTATTATGGTTTAGGGGAGGAGGTTGTGTTTTATTATGGTTTAGAGGAGGAGCTTATGTTTTATTTTGGTTTGTTTCAGTCTGTGTGTTTACAAACTGTAAATAATAAATAATAACAACCCACTGAGTGATGATGATGATGATGATGATGAAGTCCAGTTTAAATGTCTCTGCTTGTTAAATGTGCGGCGACATAAAGACGTCCTGCAGGGACGGGGACACGCGTCAATATGTGGGACACTTCCTTTAACAGACAGGAAGTCATACTATACCTGGATCAGTGACATCAATCGATCGATGACATCACACTGACACACTGTGGCAGAATTTAATTTGAGCTCGTACAGTGTGTTATATAACTGTGTGTGTGTGTGTGTGTGTGTGTGTGTGTGTAGGATTACATAACAGATTATTAAGCGTCGTCTCTGATTAAAAATATCCTGAAGAATTTATAAATAAATAAAAGAATAAAGATAGAAACTCCGTCTGTGTGTGTGAAGGTGTGTTTGTATTGATCATGTTGTAAGGACCGTGGCTGAGATGACCTGATCAGATCTCAAAGATCAATATATTTATTAACTGATCATGATCAACAGTACAGAGACAATGCTGCATGATGATGATGATGATGGTGATGTGTCTGTGTGTTACAGGGTGGTCAAAGAGGAGATCAGTGATGACAATGCCAGGCTGCCGTTTGTGAACGGACGAGTCGTCTGCTGGGTCAGAGACACACACACACACACACACACACACACACACACACACACGATGACAACTTCCTCTTGTCCAGTGTTAGTGTTAAAGCCTGTCACGTAAAGTGGGGACTCTTCTAAAACTGATTTGAGGAGGAACAGGACAAACCTCTGAGCAGAGGGTCATTTGATTAAATTCCAGTTAGAATGCACAATCTTTTATACAGAGTTTGCAAAAGAACTATATTGTGTGACAAAGTAAGTTTGCTCTGAGAACTAAGAGGGCGTGTCTTGAGGCGTCATCCAATCAGCAGCCACGTGTTTTTGTTTTGGTGATGTCATTGTGATGTCGATAAAGCTCCTTTGAATCAGCCTCAATGAACGCTGGCATATTAAGTGTCAGTGCGTCTGCGTAACACAACAGGAAGTGAACACTCCACAGTTTGTGTTTCAGTAAAGGTGTTGACGCTCAGGTGTTCATCTGTCTCCAGCTGGTGTCTGCAGAAACCTGTCAGTCAGACTTTAGAGGCTCAGACCTGCAGTCTATAGCCACGCCCACCGGCCTGGCCCCGCCCCCCATAGAGAGGACAGGTGTGATCGGAGACTCCAGACCGCCGTCCTTTCAGTGAGTACCTGTCTCACCTGTCTCACCTGATGTTACACGCCACAAACACCTGATGTAAATGTGTGTGTGTTCAGTCAGGAGGACACGGCGGCGGCAGCGGTGGCGGCGAATGCTGATGTCAGAGACGAGGAGGGAGGTGAGGAACTTGACTCTTTGATATCAACACAGGTGTAATTTTCAGGTCTCTGAGCCTCTGATTGGCTGCTCTCTCTGCAGGTGAGTGTATGAATGGCCACACCCACCGACCACCAGCTCACCAGAATGGGGCGGGGCCAACAGGTGGAGGTGACAGCTCATCGACTCAACAGAGCAGCCAATTGGAGACGACCAGCTTCTGCTCTTCTGAGGAAGACTCAGGAGGAAGGTCAGACACACACACACACACACACACACACACACACACACATCTGCAGAGTTGGGTGAGGGTTACTTTAAAAGTAACCAGTTACTTTACTGCGTTACTCCCTGAGAAAAGTAACTCAAGCACTTTTAAAGTACTTTTGAGTATTCTACATTTCCTATTGGCCAATGGACCACAGGGCGCTAAGCCTACATTTTTTGTCTCCAAAATTAAAGTTATGGACCACTTGCCCTTCACTGAGATCCAGTTCTCCCATCACAGCCGTCACTTTGACCAGTAGAAACACAGAACGATCTGCTG